AAGAGGGTTCCTTTCCTTTGGTTTAATTATTGTTCAGTAACATACCCTTTTTCGCAAAATAGGAGTTTCCGTCACGCAAACGGTATATTTTATCACCTTTTGCTCCAAATCAGCCAATGGCCCGTTTGGAAAAAGTCCAAATGTGAAATGGTCTCTCTGCTTTGTTTTATTCTTAATTCTTACACCAGGACTACGGGAGAAAATATCCTGCATTAAGTGAGGTGGTTCCTTTTTATCTGTAGGAGGATTACATTACGCTTGTAAGAACGCAACGTTCCTTCCTTGAGAAGTATCAAACGCTAGTTTAATGCTTATTTCTAATAGTTTTCTAATAGATCCCCACCTGCTCACGACTCTTAAATTCGTTCGAACATAAGAGTACTTCTCGAAATGTGGCCCTCAATGTGTGGATGCTGCATCAATAGAAACAATCTTTTATAGTAAGATGGATAATTACAAACATTTTTCTCCAATGTTGTCATGTGGTCTCTAGAACAGACAAAACTTGAGTAACTAGCAGGGTTTTAATAAACCTTTTTCCAAAATGCCTCTAAAAGGTTCATAAAAAATGTTTGCATGTTTTCAATTTTACGGATCTCCCATTGGATAAGCTAGCGTGTCATGGGTTCGATCCTAGTACCACTAAAGATCCGCCGTGTAGGGAGCGATGCACGTTAAATCTGTCGAGAGCTCAAACGTCCTCCCGTTGGTGTGGCGTGGTAGTTAGGAGAGAGGGGTGCCAGCTCAGGTGTCGTCCGCGTCACTTGACCACGGTTCAAAATTACGCGGACCGTCGCCAAAAGCCCTCGTGTTGCTAATCAGTGCGACGTTAATATTCTCTCTCTCTCTCCCCATTGGATAAGGGCCCGGAAAATAATTATGCAATTTGCATATTCAATTTGTTTGAACTTGATGGCGTTCCTGTGGATTTCACCAATTTTACTCTAAGAATTAAGTTAGAATTTTAATGAATTAGTCGAAATTTACACGATGAATTGGGTTTTGTCTGGGTCCTGAAAATTCCGGCATTTTTTTTTTTCCAAATGGCGAACAATTATAATATATTTCAGGTTTATACTAGTGACACCATATATAACCTATTCACCCCCAAAGAAATTAACAGTTTCACTAGCTTTCCGTTGCGTAAAATTTCCATTCTTACGATTATTTTCACATCACATGTTCATTTTCTAAGAGAAAACTCTGTGGGTGACTCGGTGGCGCAACGGTAGCGCGTCTGACTCCAGATCAGAAGGTTGCGTGTTCAAATCACGTCCGGGTCAATAAAGGAATTTTTCTTTTGCTCCTCCATAGGAAATGAAGGTACGAAAATTCTTCAGAAAATATCTTGTCAATGCACCTTTACTAATTTCATTGTTTTTGGTATTTTTTATCACAAATTTCATGTAAAACACATTCAAACCATGGAAGGAAAGAAATGGCTTTGTTCGTGCCGCAAACGTATATCGTTCTCATCCAGTCACTTAAAAAGCGTTAATGCATGTCTTTCGCATTTGCTTCATTTCAAACTCAACCTTTCCTGTTTGGCTGTCTCCGTGCATCATGATGAAGATATATTAGTTATCAAATTCTACAGTAATGATAAGTTACTGTACACTTTTCAAACCTCATTCTTCGTCATGTCTTTATAATATTCAGAAATGAGTGTAGTTAATGTGGCTCGGTGGCGCAACGGTAGCGCGTCTGCCTGCAGATCAGAAGGTTGCGTGTTCAAATCACGTCCGGGTCAATGCAGCGGCGGTGCCTTTTTGCTAAGGTTTGAAGAGGTATGCTGAAGAGGGTTCCTTTCCTTTGGTTAATAATTGTTCAGTAACATACCTTTTTTCGCAAAATAGGAGTTTCCGCCACGCAAACGGTGTATTTTATCACCTTTTGCTCCAAATCAGCCAATGGCCCGTTTGGAAAAAGTCCAAATGTGAAATGGTCTGCTTTGTTTTATTCTTAATTCTTACACCAGGAATACGGGAGAAAATATCCTGCATTAAGTGAGGTGGTTCCTTTTTATCTGTAGGAGGATTACATTACGCTTGTAAGAACGCAACGTTCCTTCCTTGAGAAGTATCAAACGCTAGTATAATGCTTATTTCTAATAGTTTTCTAATAGATCCCACCTACTCACGACTCTTAAATTCGTTCGAACATAAGAGTACTTCTCGAAATGTGGCCCTCAATGTGTGGATGCTGCATCAATAGAAACAATCTTTTATAGTAAGATGGATAATTACAAACATTTTTCTCCAATGTTGTCATGTGGTCTCTAGAACAGACAAAACTTGAGTAACTAGCAGGTTTTTAATAAACCTTTTTCCAAAATGCCTCTAAAAGGTTCATAAAAAATGTTTGCATGTTTTCAATTTTACGGATCTCCCATTGGATAAGCTAGCGTGTCATGGGTTCGATCCTAGTACCACTAAAGATCCGCCGTGTAGGGAGCGATGCACGTTAAATCTGTCGAGAGCTCAAACGTCCTCCGTTGGTGTGGCGTGGTAGTTAGGAGAGAGGGGTGCCAGCTCAGGTGTCGTCCGCGTCACTTGACCACGGTTCAAAATTACGCGGACCGTCGCCAAAAGCCCTCGTGTTGCTAATCAGTGCGACGTTAATATTCTCTCTCTCTCTCCCATTGGATAAGGGCCCGGAAAATAATTATGCAATTTGCATATTCAATTTGTTTGAACTTGATGGCGTTCCTGTGGATTTCACCAATTTTACTCTAAGAATTAAGCAAGAATTTTAATGAATTAGTCGAAATTTACACGATGAACTGGGTTTTGTCTGGGTCTTGAAAATTCCGGCATTTTTTTTCCCAAATGGCGAACAATTATAATATATTTCAGGTTTCTACTAGTGACACCATATATAACCTATTCACCCCAAAGAAATTAACAGTTTCACTAGCTTTCCGTTGCGTAAAATTTCCATTCTTACGATTATTTTCACATCACATGTTCATTTTCTAAGAGAAAATTCTGTGGGTGACTCGGTGGCACAACGGTAGCGCGTCTGACTCCAGATCAGAAGGTTGCGTGTGCAAATCACGTCCGGGTCAATAAAGGAATTTTTCTTTTGCTCCTCCATAGGAAATGAAGGTACGAAAATTCCTTCAGAAAATATCTTGTCAATGCACCTTTACTAATTTCATTGTTTTTGGTATTTTTTTATCCACAAATTTCATGTAAAACACATTCAAACCATGGAAGGAAAGAAATGGCTTTGTTCGTGCCGCAAACGTATATCGTTCTCATCAGTCACTTAAAAAGCGTTAATGCATGTCTTTCGCATTTGCTTCATTTCAAACTCAACCTTTCCTGTTTGGCCGTCTCCGTGCATCATGATGAAGATATATTAGTTATCAAATTCTACAGTAATGATAAGTTACTGTACACTTTCAAACCTCATTCTTCGTCATGTCTTATAATATTCAGAAATGAGTGTAGTTAATGTGGCTCGGTGGCGCAACGGTAGCGCGTCTGACTCCAGATCAGAAGGTTGCGTGTTCAAATCACGTCCGGGTCAATGCAGCGGCGGTGCCTTTTTTGCTAAGGTTTGAAGAGGTATGCTGAAGAGGGTTCCTTTCCTTTGGTTAAATAATTGTTCAGTAACATACCCTTTTTCGAAAATAGGAGTTTCCGCCACGCAAACGAGTATTTTATCACCTTTTGCTCCAAATCAGCCAATGGCCCGTTTGGAAAAAGTCCAAATGTGAAATGGTCTGCTTTGTTTTTATTCTTAATTCTTACACCAGGACTACGGGAGAAAATATCCTGCATTAAGTGAGGTGGTTCCTTTTTATCTGTAGGAGGATTACATTACGCTTGTAAGAACGCAACGTTCCTTCCTTGAGAAGTATCAAACGCTAGTATAATGCTTATTTCTAATAGTTTTCTAATAGATCCCCACCTACTCACGACTCTTAAATTCGTTCGAACATAAGAGTACTTCTCGAAATGTGGCCCTCAATGTGTGGATGCTGCATCAATAGAAACAATCTTTTATAGTAAGATGGATAATTAAAAAAATTTTCCTCCAATGTTGTCATGTGGTCTCTAGAACAGACAAAACTTGAGTAACTAGCAGGTTTTTAATAAACCTTTTTCCAAAATGCCTCTAAAAGGTTCATAAAAAATGTTTGCATGTTTTCAATTTTACGGATCTCCCATTGGATAAGGGCCCGGAAAATAATGATGCAATTTGCTTATTCAATTTATTTGAACTTGACGGTGTTCCTGTAAATTTCACAAATTTTACTGTAGCAATTAGTTAGAATTTTAATGAATTAGTCGAAATTTGCACGGTGAATTCGGTTTTGTCTGGGTCATGAAAATTCTGGCATTTTTTTTTCCAAATGGCGAACAATTATAATATATTTCAGGTTTATACTAGTGACACCATATATAACCTATTCACCCCCAAAGAAATTAACAGTTTCACTAGCTTTTCGTTGCGTAAAATTTCCATTCTTACAATTATTTTCACATCACATGGTCATTTTCTAAGAGAACACTCTGTGGGTGACTCGGTGGCGCAACGGTAGCGCGTCTGACTCCAGATCAGAAGGTTGCGTGTTCAAATCACGTCCGGGGTCAATAAAGGAATTTTTCTTTTGCTCCAACATAGGAAATGAAGGTACGAAAATTCCTTCAGAAAATATCTTGTCAATGCACCTTTACTAATTTCATTGTTTTGGTATTTTTTCATCCACAAATTTCAGTTAAAACACATTCAAACCATGGAAGTAAAGAAATGGCTTTGTTCGTGCCGCAAACGTATATCGTTCTCATACAGTCACTTAAAAAGCGTTATTGCATGTCTTTCACATTTGCTTCATTTCAAACTCAACCTTTCCTGTTTGGCTGTCTCCGTGCATCATGATGAAGATATATTAGTTATCAAATTCTACAGTAATGATAAGTTACTGTACACTTTTCAAACCTCTTTCTCGTCATGTCTTTATAATATTCAGAAATGAGTGTAGTTAATGTGGCTCGGTGGCGCAACAGTAGCGCGTCTGCCTCCAGATCAGAAGGTGGCGTGTGCAAATCACGTCCGGGTCAATAAAGGAATTTTCTTTTGCTCCTCCATAGGAAATGAAGGTACGAAAATTCCTTCAGAAATATCTTGTCAATGCACCTTAACTAATTTCATTGTTTTTGGTATTTTTTTATCCACAAATTTCATGTAAAACACATTCAAACCATGGAAGGAAGAAATGGCTTTGTTCGTGCCGCAAACGTATATCGTTCTCATACAGTCACTTAAAAAGCTTTAATGCATGTCTTTCGCATTTGCTTCATTTCAAATTCAACCTTTCCTGTTTGGCTGTCTCCGTGCATCATGATGAAGATATATTAGTTATCAAATTCTACAGTAATGATAAGTTACTGTACACTTTTCAAACCTCATTCTTCGTCATGTCTTTATAATATTCAGAAATGAGTGTAGTTAACGTGGCTCGGTGACGCAGCGGTAGCGCGTCTGACTCCAGATCAGAAGGTGGCGTGTTCAAATCACGTCAATGCAGCGGCGGTGCCTTTTTTGCTAAGGTTTGAAGAGGTGTGCTGAAGAGGGTTCCTTTCCTTTGGTTAAATAATTGTTCAGTAACATACCCTTTTTCGCAAAATAGGAGTTTCCGCCACGCAAACGGTATATTTTATCACCTTTTGCTCCAAATCAGCCAATGGCCCGTTTGGAAAAAGTCCAAATGTGAAATGGTCTCTCTGCTTTGTTTTATTCTTAATTCTTACACCAGGACTACGGGAGAAAATATCCTGCATTAAGTGAGGTGGTTCCTTTTTATCTGTAGGAGGATTACATTACGCTTGTAAGAACGCAACGTTCCTTCCTTGAGAAGTATCAAACGCTAGTTTAATGCTTATTTCTAATAGTT